AGTAAAATAAAGCAGACATACATGTGTAAACATCGTACTGTCTCCCTAGTGAGAAACTGAAAGAGTAAATAAAATAAAAAATGTACAATAGATATTGTAAAATGGGAAGAAACTTCAAAAGGAAAGAGAAGCTGGGGTGGAGGAATGGAGAAATGATGGAAGGGAAAAGCAAAAACATAAGATGTATAAAAAGAGAGTTAAAACAGTTAATACTATTAATTTCTCTTAGTTCATTGAAAAAGGTTTGTGCTAATAATTTTTGGATAATTAAATGCCAATATCTTATACTCTGAGTAGCTAATTTATTTATTTTTTGTGGTACTGGGAATCAAACTCACCACCTTATGTTTGCCAGGCCGGCTCTGTGCCGCTGAACTATATCTCCGGCTGCACTTTGAGTAACTAATTTAAAGATAACAATATGCAATGTATTAACCATTGTTACCCTATTATCTTGTTCTGAATTTTTAATTTTTTTCTCTTTAAAAAAAAGTGAATCAGGAGAGCCATTAAAAAAGAAAACTAGTGCTTAATTCAAGGTTGTCAAAATTTATGGTTATAATTTTCCAAGAGTTTTACAGTTTTGGCTCTCACGGTGGACTTTTTTTTTTTTTTTTGCAATACTGGGAATTGAACCCAGGGTTAATGTGGAGCTGCATTCCTAAATTTTTTAATTTGCAATACAGTCTCACTAAGTTGTTGCCCAGATTGGCCTCCTGCTTCAGCTTTCTGAATAGCTAGGATTACATGTGTGCATCACTACACTCAGCTCCTTTAAATTGTGGGTGTTGAGCATTGTGTTTCAGTAACAGGAAGTTTATGAGACATTATTGGTTTGTGATTGTTTTGTAAAACAGTTAAGAGTTGGATATCAAAATCACGCTGGCCTCATGAAATAAGTTAGTGTTTCTTACTGTTCTATTATCTGAAATAGTGTAGGATTGGTGCAGTATCTTACATGTCTGATAAAATTCACTGGTGCAATACCCTGGTCCTAGATTACTTCCTGGCAAATTTTTTTCTTGCAATTTTTTTTTTCTTTGCAATTTCTTAAATAGATGCTGTGTTAATTTTTTTCCTTCTGTGTCAGTTTCTGTTTTTACTTTGGTAGTACTTGGGATAAAACCTAGGGCCTTGCACATGCTAGCAAAGTGCTCTATCATTGAGCTATACCACAGCCCTCACGTTAGTTTTGGTAATTGTATTTTTTAGGAAGTTGTGTATTTTGCTTAAATTGTTGAATATGCTGGCATAAAATTGTTCACAGTATCCTTTTAGTATTCATATAATTCCATTAGAATGAATTTTCATTAATGTGTAAATTTCTGTACTCAAAATTAGATGACAATAATAAATCAATAAAAAATAAACATGTATCACATAGAATAAAAAGGATATATGTATGTGTGTATTATGTACAGCAGGGGAAGTAATTCAGTGGTGCAAAGGGGAATTTTTTGAGAGTATGACAAATACTTTTTGAGGTACACAAAGGTACACAAGGGAACACATAAGAAAGTATCAGTCCAATTAAAAGTTAGAAGCAAGATGGCCAACTAGTGAGTTAGCTTGCTCATCTACAGATAAATATTATCAAATTTATAGCAAAAGAAAAGGCCAAGACTCAGATCTCCAAGTTACCTACCTTGGAAGGCCTGCAGTCAACTGGCTTTCCTTTCCTTGGCACAGCTTTAACTAAAAATAAGACACAGCTCTTCATAAGAAAGGAAAAAAAACCCCTCAAGCAAGGTAGAAAATTTCAATAAATAAAAGAGTTGCATTTTGATATACTTCCAGATTTTTGTACACTTATACACACACACACACACACACACACACAACGTTCTACACGTGCTAATTTGTAGGTTTTTTTTTTTTAGGGAAAATCCAGCCTATGTTCTCTGGACATACTTTTGTGTAAATGACATTTAAAACATTGGTTTTAATGGGTTGAGCATTCCACTGTATGCAGGCACTATAATTTTCTTGTGTTCTAGTGATATTATTTCTAGAAGTATTTATGTATTATATAAAAGTCATGGCAAACAATACCTTTGTGAATCTCTCATTTTCCTTTATGCCTAAGAAATATTTGTGGGGCAAAAACGAATGCATATTTTAAATTTTGATAAACAAGGTTGTACCTATTTCATCTTCATACTGTGCTATAGGAATTGTATTTCCACACTCGTACCAATACTGATAGACAAAAAAGATCTATTTGGAAGTTGTGTATCTTTTCATTTACTAATTGGATGTTTTTCTTGGTTTAGGAATGTCCTGATATCTCTTGCCAGTTTTCATCATTCGGGGTATTTACATTTTTAACTGATTTTCTAAGAATCCTTGTATACTAAGAATACTTTTCTTTTTTTCCAAATGATGCATTGTTTTAAACTTTGTATACAAGTTACAATTGTCTTTTTTCTTTTTGGCGGGGGTGGGGCGTGGTGGTGGTGGTTTCTGGTACCGGGAATCGAACTCATGACCTTGTGCTTGCCAGGCAGGTGCTGCGCCGCTGAGCTAAATCCCCAGCCCCCAACTTACAACTTTCATGTGGTTAAATTTTACCATTGTTTTCCTTTTAGTTTTTAGTTCTTGTTTCATCCTTGGAAAAGACTTCAAGAGTATATACTTCAAGGTAATATTAAGACTACAATCGCAATCTCTTTGATTTTCTTCCATCTTTACAGTTTCATTCTGCAAGTCATCTAGCATTTATTCTGGTGTGAGAAATGAGACAGATGTAAAGCTTTTCACTGATTAGTCGTTTTGCCAAAGATCTCACCGAACATGGATTTACAATGTACAGTTACTACTGTACATGTACAATGTGCAGATTACTACTAAGACTTCTTTATTCGGCTTCAACATTTATTAAGTAATGGCTCCAGGAAACTTTATGATATAGAAATAATTGTACTTATTTTACAGAGCTGGGAAGGGGCAAATAATCTGAAAGAGTGTTCCAGCACTTGATACCTAAGTGCTTATCAGATGTGAGCTCTTGTTACTAACACTAAATACACAAGCAACAATTTATTTCTGGACCCTATTTTGTTCATCATGTACCTCTCATATTTCATTGATAAAATCCATCTAGTAACATTCACTATCCTTTCTGATGGTCTTTTCTCTCATTTCAACAAAACGTCACATTTCAATTGCATTTCTAAAGGGCCTGAATGTAGTACGTTGACAGGTAAAAAGGTGAAACAATGAAAATCAAAATCCAGGGCTGGGGATGTAGCTCAGCCGCACAGTGCCTCCCTTGCGAGCACGTTCTGAGTTCGATTTCCCCGTTCTCAAAGAAAAAAAAAATCAAAATCCAAACACAAAGGCACTGAACAAACGTGGAGGAAGAGAAGGCGGCTGTTTGTCTTACCACCTATTCTGAAAGGATGAATCCTTCAATATTTCATCCCTTCGTTACAAATAATCTTGTCAAAGCTGGCCTTCCACCTCTACAGCCCGAGGACAGATTGTTAAGGCGCCACCTGAGTGGGCCGTAGGCCCTGGCATTTGGAGCGGGAGGAAGCACCTCTTGGGGCCTGGTCCCGGTCCTAGTCCTGATGGCCAGCTCTCTCCTGACAAGCTGAACCAATCGCCCATGTGGGGACTGATGCCCCAGGGCCGGCGTGGGTAGTAGACGAGTTCGGGAGGTGAGGAGGGCGGGAGGGGCGGCACTACTATCCTGAAAGCCTCAGAGGGAGTGCGGTACGCGTGGCAGAAGGAGAGCGCTGCCGCGTCGCGCGGGAAACAGCTTCTCGCTGAGGCGCGCCGTCCAGGCTCCTTGAGGCGAGGCCTTCCCGGGTCTCGGAGGACTTCCTGCGGCTCCCTAGCGGCCTACGGGGGGCGGCCCGTGCCCGTCGCTCTCACCATGGCGGGCACCCTCTCCGCGGCCGTTTGCTCCCTTCCCGGCTCCAACGGCTCTGGCAGCGGCGCGCGCGCGCGGCTTGGTGACGTCACGCGGGGCGGGACTTCCTGCCTCGCGCACCGCCCAGTCTCAGACCAGTGCGCCCGGGGCGCGGGAGGTGACAGACAGGTCTCCCGGAGGTGCGCTCGGCTGCGCGTCGCCCCGGGGCTGGGCCCTGAGCCCTGAGCGGTCCGCCAGCCGAGGAGGCGAGGAGGGGGCTTCCGTCCGCTCCGCTCGGGGCTCTCCTCGCGAGCCCGAGGGTCCGGCGCGGCCCTCCTGCCCCTCGGCAGCCCTCGGCCGCCGGGACCTCGCGGGGCGCGGCAGGCTGGGCGACACCCCGGCGGGGGGACCGTGTCCCGCAGCCCCAATGCCTCCGCGAGCAGAGTGCAGCGGCTGCCGCTGGCTGGAGCCGTGCGGGTGTCCCCCGGCGGCGAGTGCGCCCCGGACCCCGGTCTCTGCTAAGTTTTGTGCGCGCGCGTAGCAGGGACCGCGTGTGAGTCTGGTACGTACCTCTCTCCCGGGGGTCTCGGCCCCCTGCGCGTCTGGGGACTCACACTCCCACACCCCCGCAACCTGGATTGGATTCCCCCCGCGTCTGGTCGTGTCCTCCGAAAGTCGTGGGAGCGTGAGTTCTGTGGCCGGGGACCAGCACGTGGAAGGCCAAAAGGAGGGTTTTGATTCCCTCGGGAGTTGGATAGCCGGCTCAGGAACGGGCTGAATGGATGGCACCTCCAGTTTGATTTGTGCTGAAAACCCTGTGCTGTCCTTTTCCATCGCTTTGAAGACAATTCTGGCAGTGATGTTTGCTGATATTACTGAGATATCGTCTGAAATATGTTAGTGTGTTTTGAGCTTGAGTGGATACTTCCGCAAATCCTCAGTGTCCAACTTTTGACCAGAATATGTAGACGTTTTGCTCTTAAAAATGCTCATTGCCAAGTAGTTTTAAAAGCTTTTTATTGTATTACAATGATGGAGCTGTTTCAAATCTCAGAGATACAGAGGTCTAGGGTTATGAGAAACTTGTTCTGATTTTTTAATGTGTGGATTCTTAATATGTTCGGACTGAGTACAAAGTACTGGAATAGGTTTAGAACTGAGTAGGTTGTTAAAGGAGTGCTTCTGTTACCAAGCAACACCACTGTAAACATTTCCAGTATTCAAGTAGAATATGATTAAAAGTATCTGTCCTACAATTGTCTGGGTTCAGTATTCTCTAAATTAGTAAGTTTAGCCTGTTGGTTACAGTTAATAATTCACCTTTTGTATTCAGGTTTTGTTTCAAACGCATTTTGTTAAGAATTGTCGGAATGCTGTATATTTCAGTGTTACACAGAACACTCAAGACTTTCCTATGGATTTGAGTTGCTGATTTTGGCTATTTAGGACAGAGTATGCAGAGTATTTCTCTGAGAATTTTGTTTTTCTAACCAAAGTACACAGACTATCTTTTGGAATAGTTTCAAGTAACAGCCCATTATAGCTGTTGAGAGTTACATAGAGCCTTTGGGAATTTGAAACATTGCTTATAAGCAGTTTTTAAAAGTTTTTATTTTTCATTAATACACGTTTGCAGTGCACAATATTTACATTTCTTGTGTGCAGTTGGTACACGTATATAACACATCTTAATTCGTTTTTTCATCCCGTGTGCCTCCTCTGCCTCCTCTAGGCAGTAACTTTCAGTTTTCTCCACTCATTGAATCCCTAGTGATGTAATTTCTCTGGCAAATTGTTAAAGTTTCAGAGCATTTTTAAATTATCTTATGAATACAATAACCTTTCAAGCAAGTAAGAAAGTGAGAAGAGTTGAGACATAGTGATACAAATGACCTTTTTTTTTTTTTTTAACAAATGACCTTTTTGAAATCAAACTATTAGTAGTGGGAATTGGAACGTCAAGTTTGTATCATACCCTGATGCAGCCATGGTGAACCTTTTAGAGACTGAATGTCCAAACTGCAACCCAAAACCCACTTACTTATTGTGACGTGCCAATGCTGCAATTAAACCTGAATGCTGAGGGCTTAGTTTAGAAAAAACGACTTGTACATTAATATCTTTTGTCTTAAAAGAAAAATACGGTAACACGTGTGTCATGGGTTTGCCACCATTGCCCTAGTATATTGCAAAAATCAATAGATTTTATTTAGTTCTCACACTCTTAACTCTCTCATTTACTGATGTTGAAGTAATGAAATGTTCACAAATTGGATGAGACCGAGAAGAAAATCTAGAATGACTTGTGTAATAAAATCCTTAGTAGTTAGAAATGAGTATTCTATCACAGGAAGTTCAAGAAATTTAAAGTGAATTTTTAACTGAAAAATTAGTGAATTGTCAGATTTTTTTCCCTTTGGGTACTATCTCTACCTAAAGTGAGTGAGGCTGCCAGGGATATGGCTCAGGGGCACAGGCATCTACCTGGCAAGCGCAAGGTCCTGAGTTCAATTCCCAGTGGAGGAAAAAGTTTAAGTGAGTGAGTTTGACTTGAATTTTGTCATACATAATGTTTTAGGCTCAGTAAATAATTTTCTTACATTATTTAACCTGTGTGTTACTTTTGGGGAGTGTGTGTGTGTGTTTAGGAAATGCCCTACTAACTGAGGTTCTCAACTTTTTGTGAACTCTTCAAAATCTTCTCACCTTGCCTTTCCAAGCTTCTAAATAGAAAACATGTCTTTGTCTAGACTGTTTTCCCCCACTGTCTCTAAGACTGCCAGGTGCTTTCTCCTATGTCAGTCATGATGTCATTTTACCTCCTTTGCAATTTCTTCCCTTCTTTCTTAAAATGTAAATTTATACCTTTCCTGTAAAGTTCAACTCCACCTTGACCTCTGAAATCCTATAGTACATAATTGTCATACTTGATTTATTATACTGTGTTATTTTATCTTTTTTTGTCTTCCTTCTTAACTATAAGTTCCTTTAAGGGCAGGACACCCATCAGTGAGCTTTGTTTTTTCCAAATAGAAGTTGCTGAATAAATGTTTCATAAAGACAATGAACATGCATTTCTACTTTTTTTCACCCCTTCTATGATATGTGGAAGTAAGAACGTTATTGAGAGAGGAAGTAACTGTTGAAAGAAGGGCAACAGTAAACCATAAGAAAGGGGGTATTGATTAAAGAGGGGGTTCATTTGAATCAGAAGAGGTTCAGTTCCTAGAAAGTGAATATTGGAGAAACTCCCCTGATAATACCAGCAGTAAGGACTCCCTCAGGAATGCTGTACTATTCCCATGTGGCCTTGGGGAGTTTGGTCAGTTTCTTGATTCTTCCTTAGTAGACTTTTAATTTTAAAAGAGTGAATCCATTTCTCTTTCCCTCTTCCCTCACCTCTTATATTCTCCTTATAGTCTCATCTCCTTATTTTACTCCTTTCCACCCTACTCTTTGACCAGGTAAAGACTTAATTTATGAAATTATGTCAGTATTTTAATTTTGTCTTCATAAATGAGGAATTATTGAAGTTTATTAAATACCTTTTTTTTTCCCTATTGGGACTGCTCTCTAGATCATGGAGAGATCACTGACTGTCAGATTTAGTACTGTTTGAGTTATAATCCAGGATGAAAGAAGTTAAGAAAGAGACCCCTATTAATTTGCTTGCTATACATTGTAACTTCAGATTATTTTTGGATTACAATTCAGAGATATGAAGAACCTATAACTGTTCATTCGCTTTTTGAAAGCACTTGTCATTCTCAAAGTATGTCTTTAAAATTTTCAGATAATTTTTATAATCTTGTCACAAATCTTGTATCTAAAGCTTTAAAACAAAGAGTTACTTTAATTGAAGGAACAAAAATGAAACTGAGTCTCAGTACCTTTTATCAACCTTGGTTTGATTCAATTGTTTCTTGAGTTTGCCAGCATAGCTTCTGAATTGTTGCCCGGTAACACTATTGCAGTATAACATAGCAACCTATGAAAACAGTAATGTTGGACTGTGGAGATTTTCCTGGTGAAGTTGCAGTGCCTATCTCTAGTGTTCACATTTAACCTCTCTCTCTCACTTGAATCACATTTGGTTTAAGGCAGTTATTGCAGGTATTGTTAAACTAAAGAGCATAACATATGCTCGTAAGTATATTTTTTTGAAGTGGTGACAAATTATAACTTTCTGCAAATTGTTTTCCATGTAGAGTTGCATGATAACTATGTTGAACTGCAGTATATGTGAAGAACATACGAAAAGATTGATTCAACTAAAACTTCTGTACAGAAAAGCTATTGAGTAATAACATCAGAGTTCTCTATAACCAATAAAGGTAGTCAGAGCTGGAGTGGTTTAAGCTGAAATGGGCTTTTGTATTTTTTTTTTTTTTTGTATTATTACTTCTGAAGCTTGTATCAGTAAACATAATTTAATGGGTACTGTGATTTTGTGGGAAGAGACTTGTGGTTCAGGAGACCAAGGCTTGACTGAATGAGTTACCTAATCTTTTTTAGCCTGTTTTCTCACTTGAAAAATAGATCTCTGAAGACTTCTTGTATGCTTCCAATTTTAAGCAACTTCTGTTTTTCTTGTTCATGGGTTTAGTCATTTTTTGAGTGCTTGTTATGTGTCTTGTACTATGCTAGGGACTGGGAGATTGAGAACAAGATCTAAAACACCTTATTGTCTGATGGGGGAAATGGATAAAGTAAATAATAATTTGTAATATAACATGATAGATACTACAAAGATAAATGGAATGGATTGTTGGCATTCAAGGAAGGACAGCTGACTAGAACTGCAAATAGAATACACTATGAGGAATGGTCATTAGTATTACTGAGTATAATTTGAGAGTGTACAGAGAAATATTCGCCCTGGCCTGGAGGGAGTGAATCAAGGAAAATGAGAGGGAAAAAGTTTCTTAGAGTTGGAGCAACAGAATCAGGAGTCACCAGCAATACTGGTAGTTGAGATCCTGGATGTTGATGACATTCCTAGAAAGAGTGTGTAGAATCAGAAAGTGGATAGATGGACAAAGAGAGTGGGGAGGAAAACCAGAGTAAACTAAGATCTTGGAAGCCAAGGGAAGTGTGCATGTCACATTTTGTTTGTTGGTTAAAGTTGGTGCTCAAGAAAACACTGATTTTGTAACATCAGTGTAACTCATGTATAGAAAGATGTCTTCTACAAAGATCTGAACTTGCAAGGGAAGATAAAAGTCTTTGTTGATCAGCAAAACAGGAAAGAATTAGAATCAGATTTCTAAGTCAAAATTTAGAATCTTGGCTGTATCATTTTACTAGCTACTGGTCTTTTCAGACCAGTTAATTTTTTCGTCTTCATGTGTAAAGTGATATTTTTTTTCATGAGAATCATAGAGTCACAGGTGAGTTATGATGCCTGCCTCAATCATTATGGACATTCTTTAAAGATTAATTTTCAGGCTGGGCATAGTGGCACACACCTATAATCCCAGCACTTGGGTGACTGAGGCAGGAGGATCATTTGAGACCAGCCTGGGCTACAAAGAGAGCTCAAGGCCAGCCTGAACTGCATAG